GTGTGTGTGTGTGTGTGTGTGTGTGTGTGTGTGTGTGTGTGTGTGTGTGTGTGTGTGTGTGTGTTAATTTAATACTTTCTATAATGTTACAAATATACATAATAAATTAAGTAATATTTAAAAATCAAAAATACTATAAAATACTGGACTATATTTTAAAACTAAATATAAATATAAATGAAATATTGCAATAAACAATCTAATGTTTTAAAAAAAAATTGTATGATATAAAATGTTTTCATGGACCATAAAATGAATCAAAGCCAGTTTATGCACAATAAAGTTTTCTGACACAAGCTTATTATTAATGCACAAGGTTGTAGCTCATCAAACAATTTTCACATTTTATTAATAGATCTAAAAAAAAAAGATGGGCTGTTAGAAAAATAAAAAAGGTAACACTTTACAATAAGGTTCCATTTGTTAACATTAGTTAAATAGAAAATATTTACAAAGTATAATCTTAGGCAATGTTGATTCCAACATTTACTAATACATTATTAAAATCAAAAGTTATATCTGTTAATGTTATTTAATGGACCTGAGCTAACATGGACTAGCTGTATTTTTATTAACTAACGTTAACAAAGATGAATAAATACTGTAACAGTGTATTGCTCATTGTTAAGTAATGTTAGTTAATGCATTAAATATAGTTAAAAAATGGAACCTTATTGTAAAGTGTCACCATAAAAAATACACATATCAGGGAATAAATAAGCACGAATCATGTATTTTGAAGGGAGATTTTTTTTTTCCTTTCAGTTCATCGTCCTGTTTCAGTTCAGTTTAAATTCACACACATATACTGAACAGATTCCCACTCTTAAACTCCGAGTGTTTCTGGACGCTGACAGCGCTCTGTTGACGTGAACTCATGACCGATGATTTATTCCCAAAACCATTGAAAACAATCAAACAAACAACTCTAGAACCTTCTGCACCGCAGCAAACATTCTGGAGCAGTGCTTGTGCAAAACTACAGCACTCTCCTGCATAACCTTCGCATTTCAGTCCAACTACAGCACACACGAACGTGTCGAGAAAAGAAGAGGTGAAAACAGCCAAAAGAACACTTTATTTAACATGTTTTTCATTATCAAGTCCATGCACATGCCACGTTATGAAACCAGCAAGTTCCTTCCGTTAAAATCACACACGGTCCGGCAAACACAGCATCATCTGAACAAACGCTGCACCTTTGAACTCCATCCGTCTGATCGGATCCAAAAACGTTGGCAGGAGATTTAAAAACAGATGAAGCGTTCCTATTGGCTCGGGGCTTCAAAGGTGGCCTCTGATTGGCTGCGTTTGTCATACGCAAACATCCCGTTTTGCACTCATATTTTTTTTTAGAAAAGACATGTGAATCAAATTAATACCTTAATATCAAACATTATGTACAACACATTTTGATCATAACATTTAACGTGGTATCCCTAATAACAAATAACAGTGATGCTGAATAATTAATTATAATAATTCATGTTTTATGGCGTGTCTATTTTTCCTCGTCCTCCTGAAAGATACAAAAAAAAAGTAGTATTCTAACACTATAATGTTATATTTTTGACTGCTTCAGGATACACAGTATCCATTCGATAAGCTGATTCTGTTTCCCAGTTCAAAGTGTGTACAAAGCGTGGTATTAATGGTAATAATGAGAGTACAAATGATACAAATACTACTGAAGCTGATTTCTTTTTCTTTTTTTAAGTTTCTCTCATGGTTTCTAGTGTAAACCATGAAACGGAGCACATATGGTGTGTTTCCTCGAGTCCTGATGTGGCCGAGCCGAGCTGCTGAAATCGCTTGGTTAACAAAAACAAACAGAACTAGCAGAAGCAAACAGGCTTACGAGAGTCAAAAGGCAGAAACCATTATCCAGTTAGCGACTGTTTGAAAGTCCACAGTATTGTTTATTGTCAGGAATACCGTCAGAGCCGACGCTCATCGTCTGCTTTAACAGCGCAGATATCTTCCGGCTCTTAAACTCAAACAGTGATGGAGAGAGTAACCAGGCAGACTACAGTTTGGGTGAATCTCACGAAAACAGGTCCAGATCACATTTCACTGCACAAAATTAGATTTTTCATAAAGAAAATGAAGCCTTTTTGAAGCCAGAAGAGTTTGGTTCTGTCATTTGCATCATTCTCAATGCATTTATTAACAGTTACTTCTTGTATTCCTTTGATAAGTCGATTTGAATGATGAAGAATATAAATGTAGCAATACCTCTACAGCATTTATGAATCGTAGATAATGCTAATTTCAACATAACATGAACATAACAACTAACATGAACAACTGTATTTAACATTAACAAAGGTATATCAATTCTGTAAGAAATGCATTGCTTATTTTTAAGCTCTTCTTAGCTAACGTTAATGAATGAGACCTTATTGTAAAGTGTTACAGATTTGCTGATTACTGATTTAACGATTACTGGAGTGATATCTCTTGATATCTTAATCATCAAGTATTTAAAAGACAATACAGATACTAAAGGTGAAGTGTGTGATTTTTGTGACACCAAACTAAATTTTAATTTTAAATCTAACAATTTAAAAATGTAATTGTGTGTGTGTGTGTGTGTGTCGTTCAAAAGTTTGGGATCAGTAAGATTTGTAATGTTTTTTAAAGAAGCTTCTTCTGCTCATCAAGGCTACATTTATGTGATTAAAAATACAGAAAAAAATGTAATATTGTGAAATATTATTGCAATTTAAAATATTGATTTTCTATTCTAATATACTTCAAAATGTAATGTATTTCTGTGATGCGCAGCTGTATTTTCAGCATCATTACTCCAGTCTTCAGTGCCACATGATCTTCAGAAATCAGTATAATATGCTGATTATTATCAGTGTTGGAAACACTTAATATGTGTTGGAACCTGTGATACTTTTTTCAGGATTCTTTGATGAATAAAAAGTTAAAAAGAACAGCATTTATTCAAAATAGAAATCTTTTGTAACGCTATATACTACCATTCAAAAGTTTGGGGTCAGTAATTTTTTATTTTTATTTATTTGTTTATTTTTGGAAAGAAATTAATGCTTTTATTCAACAAGGATACGTGTTAAATTGAAAAACGAATTTGATAATAAAGACAGAAAATTCTATTTTAAATAAATGCTGTTCTTTTTAACTTTATTCATCAAATAATCTTGAAAAAAGTATCACAGGTTCCAAAAAAATATTAAGCAACAAAACTGTTTCCAACATTGCTAATAAATCAGCATATTATACTGATTTCTGAAGATCATGTGACACTGAAGACTGGAGGAATGATGCTGAAAATACAGCTTTAAATCATAGGAATAAATTATATTTTGAAGTATATTAAAATAGAAAACCATTATTTTAAATTGCAATAATATTTCACAATATTACAGTTTTTTCTGTATGTATATATATATATACTTGATTTTGTTTGTGCAAAATATAAGTACTTATTTTTATTTTTTGATTCTGTCATGAAACATGAGTCAGGTTTGGTGAGATTCACCCATCGGTTCCTCCATCATGTGTAAGGCTTTTGGGAGGAGAATGCCCATGTTCTAATGTTTTGCGTATGTCGCATCAGCATATTAAACGAGTCAGAACTGCACCAATTAACAGCTACACAAACAAACAGATGCATTAATGAAATAAACAAATGAAACTAGACTTTATTTCCCCGATGGAAACGCTGAATTCGAAGCACTTCCAGGAGATATTAGTATAGTGTACAGTATAAGGCCTATTCAAACAAATGCTTATTTTTTCCACCCATGTAAAAGGGGAAAACATCATGCGGAGCCCCTTTCCATATTTGGTTCCTAATGGAGTCGGACACACAGTTATGACAAGAAAAGAATTTCCATGAGCCGTTAATGTTGATATCTCATATCAATTGATAAAAGGTCATAGGAAAAATATAGATATTTATGTTGCAGTTAAGTTTATCTTACAAAATACAAAATCATTGTTTTTAGTGGTGTGGTCTACTAAGACAAGTCCCTCAAATTGCAGTAGAGAATCAAATGCAAATTCGGACTAACCAACGTCTTCCTTCGATTGGGAAAGATCCTGCGGCGAGACGCATAACAGACGTTTCTTCCGATGGATTCTGCAATTTGTTAGGGGAAGGCAGACGAAGGACGAAAGGCGAGAGTCTTTGTGTGTGTGTGTGTATATATATATATATATCGCTAAAAGCAGAGCTGGTGAACTCGGGTTGATGTTTATGTCTGTTTTATGTGACACCCACCTAGAAACCTTCAGTTCTCACAGGGCCTCCGGCGTTTCTTAAAACGTGCTCTAATTACCCACAAAAGAGCGACTCACTCCTAATGGACCCAAATCAAATCTGAGACTCCGCCCCCTTCCTGCTGGCAGCCAATCCGCAGCGACCGGCCGCCACAGTTGATTGGTTGGTTGGTTAAACAGGCGATCTGAATTTCTTCTTCGCGCGGCTAATTGACTTTTCTTAATCAAAGACAGCGAAGGACCACTTAAATATTGGAAAACAAAACAAAAGCGCAGCAGAAGTGTTCCCGGTGAATCTCAAGCCCTCCCCGGTGCCGGGACGCGCCGGGTCTCCCGAGGGCTGCGTGAGGGGCAGGTGAGGGGCTATAAGGTGAAGAACACAGAGATGCAGAGCAGCAGCAGGGCCAGCAGGGGGCGTGACGTTTGGTGCCGCAGGCCTGAGGTCGACACGTCGCTCCGGGACGGTTCAGCCTCGTGACTGGTGTCATCTGGAAACGAGGAGACACCGAAAAAATGTGATCAACTTCTGTGCAGTTGGTTGTAGAATTTATATATATATATATATATATTTACATTTAGTCATTTAGCAGACACTTTTATCCAAAGCGACTTACAAATGAGGACAATAGAAGCAATCAAAACTCACACACAAAAAGAAAAACAAGATAGAAATAGAAAATAACGACTTTATTCAACAATTCGTCTCTGGCGTAAACAGCGTATGCTGTTCTGTGTCAGCTGCGTCACACGGATACGCTGTTTCTATTCAGATCAAATCACAAATATATATTTCATTAATATGTAATGATTGTAATGGTTTGATTTTAAAGATGTAAAAGGATGTCTAATCAACTGAATTCATAAAACATTTATCAATAATAGTGCCAAACTTGTTACCATGAGCTAAAACCATAAAAACATTAAATACTTGAAATAAAATAAACTTTTTCTGAAATAAAATAAAATATATAAAAAGTAATCTTATTTTATTTCAGCTAGATGCATGGCAGCATTTATCATTTTTATTTAGTTTAACTTGATGTACTAAAATAACTAAATGCAATAAAAATGTGTAAAACACAACAAAATTACTATAATTTTAACTAAAATTAAAATGAAAACAAAATATAAAAATATAAACTAATTCAAAATAATAATAATGTAATAATTTATTAAAATGTCAACAATAACGGTGACAAATTTGATTTTTCAGACATTGTTTTCAAGTCACCTTTATTTATTTATAATGCACTTTACAATACGCATTGTTTGTCAAAGCAGCTTTAAAGTGTAATCGAGCCCTGTGGTTCTCCTCGCAGTGAAGAACTTCCACTCTGACGACATGTTTACATGCGGATGTGAGCGTAGCTGCGACGTCAAAACGGACCGGCTGACTCCAATCCCTGGTCGGTCGATACATTCTACTGTACAACAGTAATATTGTGCACGTCAGGGTTATAATAGTTCACTATAACTATAAAAAATCATTAGTTAGCTGCAGTTAAAGCTGGAAATTCACTGTACTTCAGAATCACAGATTCTTCATGTTAAGTAAGTTCAAAATAATAATTTTGACCGGAAAATGTCATCTGAACAAGTAACATGTCTGCCACTTTTGTTCTGACCAACTGAGAAAAAAAGCATTACAGTAAATCGCGCTACTAATGGTGATTAAATCTAACGATTGCTTAGCTCATATCACATCAAACCGTGCAAATTATTATTGTTATACTTTGTTCTCAAATTCTTAATGTTAACAACATCAGCATTGCGTGTAGTAAGTGTCTATTAGTGTTACCTGTAGATTTCAATTTCTGTACAGTCTAATCTCTAATTGTCATACCATTCGAATTTCATATACTTAAATTGTTCTTTGAACCCAAAAGCAAATTAATGTTCTTTAGAACTGGCTCTCTTTGAAATACAAATCTTGTGTAATCCCACATAACTGTAATCAGATGCTCAGTTAAAACTGGAATATTTTTTTCTATAGCCACTCCAAGGTCCGAAGTCTTTTGCTTTTGACTACGGGTGAATCTCCAGTTGTCACTGATGATTGTCGTTTACAATCCGCCGTCAAAATGAGAAGTTGAAAATGACCCGTCACCGGCAGCATCCTCGCATGCGTAATCGCCTACTGGCCAGGACTCCTTTATGTTTACAGACGTGACGTAATGACGCAAAGACGAATGGCGGCATGCTCATATTTCCCGCGAAAACCTACCAGTACCACTCAAATTAGAATTCAAGCTTAATGCTGTGAATCGGGCTATAGTAAGGAGATAGTTCTGAACACTGGCTAATTATGTACTTGCTCAAAAATTGATTTGATGGACTACAGCTTTAAAATAAACTTACACTGAAAAAATAAAAAAAATTATATGTGCTCCTGTGGCTCAGTGGTAGAGCATTACGTTAGCATTGCAAAAGGTCGTGGGTTCGATTCCCAGGGAACACACATACTTGTAAAAAATGTATAGCCTGAATGCACTGTAAGTCACTTTGGATAAAAGTGTAATGTGCATAAATTAAATCAATTAATAATATATATATAATTTTTTTTTGGATTGATTTTGGATCATTTTTAAAAAAGGTATGGACTGCAGCTTTCAAATAAACTTAGAATGAGAAAAAAATATATATACAATTTTTTTTTTTTTTTGATTGATTTCAATAATTTTTAACCAAAAAAGTTACGGACTGCAGCTTTAAAATAAACACTGAAAAAAAAGAAAAAAAAATGTATATATACTGTGTCTATATATACTGTATATATTTATTTTTTCTCATTGTAAGTTTACAAATGACAAAAACACGACAAAATGACCAAAATTTCAACTAAAATGAAAACTAAAATAAAAACTAAATAAAAACTAATTTAAAATATTACTAAAACATAGTATCTGAATGATACTATGTATCTGAATGATACATAATGGCGCCGACGGTGATGGCGTGCTCTGCAGTTGTTTTTATGTTTTTGTCAGTTTGTCCTGTCTTTAGTTATATCCCTGCAATCAGTTTCACCAGAGACGAATTGCTGGACATTCGGAAGTACACACCACCCGATATTTCACCGGTTTTCGACTATTCGGATGTTTTGCTGGACATTGTTGTCGGGGGAGCTGCTGCATGAAAACAAATTCCTCGTATGTGTAAACATACCTGGCAATAAAACTCATTCTGATTCTGATTCTGATACTAAACAATAACACTAGTACACATCCATCTGCCGTCTAAGCTTTAAGCAGCAAATGAGCCAGACTCCTGTTGTCAGAATCCTCAGTAATAACGGAGGCAGGGCTGTTTGGAGTCTCAGTGCATTTCTGCTGGTCTACTGGTGCAGACACACAGACTGCGGTTATCATCAGTGAGCGTGATATGGCTTTGGAAAGCACAGTGTCTCTCTGAGGGGGAAACGGACAGGTGTGGCGCTAAAAGAGACAGATAAATATGGTTGGGAGGACAGAGCAGTTTGCTGGCTCATTCAGGCGGGCAGACAGACACCTCCAGCCTCTCAGTGGGGATCTGGACTAATAAATCAATGCCTCCATCATGACACGGCGCTGCCAGGAACTCAGGCCTGGGTGGGTGTGTGTTGGCAAGGTGAAAATGCATGAGAAAACTATATACTGTGTTCAACTACACTGACACTATCTGCAGTGTTAATTGATATAAGCATGCGCTTTTAACAGCTTTTCACCACGGATCGCCCACCAAACTAAAACTGGCTCTGCACCTGGTTTTCTGAGCCTGTGAAATGTTAACACTTTATTTGATAGCTCACTTCAGACATTCTACTAACTATAAGTAACTTTGCAAGAACCCTAATAATAAACCCAACCTGAAAGTCTACTATTACTCTAATGAGAGTTAGCTGACGTGTAGTAATGTTTTTGTAATGTGTTTTAAAGACGTCTCTTCTGCTCATCAAGGCTGCATTTATTTGATCAAATATACAGAAAAAACTGTAATCTTGCAAAATGTTATTACAATATAAAATAATGGTTTCTATTTTAATACTGTTTAAAATATAATTTATTTCTGTGATGCAAAGCTGAATTTCCATCATCATCACTCCAGTATAACGCGTCACATGATCTTCAGAAATCATAATAATATGCTGATTTATTATTAGAATTATCAACAGTTGTGCTGCCGAATATTTTTTTGGAAACGGCGATACTTTTTTTTAGGATTCTTTGATGAATAAAAAGTTAAAAAGAACAGCATTTATTCAAAATAGAAATCTTTTCTAACAATATAAATCTTTGCTATCACTTCTTATCAATTTAACACATCCTCGCTGAATAAAAGTATTAATTTCTTTAAAATAAAAGAATAGAAATGTACTGACCCCAAACTTTTGAACTGTAGTGTATATTTTTAGAAAAGGTTTTTATTTTAAATAAATGCTCTTCTTTTTAACTTTTTATTCATCAAATAATTCTGGAAAAAAGTATCACAGCTTCCAAAAAAATATTAAGCAGCAAAACTGTTTCCAGCACTGATAATAAATCAGCATATTATACTGATTTCTGAAGATCATGTGACACTGAAGACTGCTGAAAATACAGCTGCGCATCACAGAAATAAATTATATTTTAATGTATATTAAAATAGAAAAACGTTATTTTACATCATAATAATATTTCACAATATTATTTTTTCCCCTGTATTTTTGATTAAATAAGTGCAGCCTTGATGAGCAGAAGAAACTCCTTTAAAAACATTAAAAATCATTCTGATCCCAAACTCGAATGTCTAAAAAAAGAATGTCTAAAGCAGACTATGGAAATAAAGTGTAACCTGTGAAATAATCTCTACATCTACAGATCAGAAAGTCTACAGTAGGGCTGGGCGGTATCGAGTTTGTATGATATGTCAATATATTTTTTTAAACGATATGGTACGAGGCAATACTGTTTATATCGATATACAGTAATTTGATACACAGAGTCAGCTGCTGCGGGGAAAGTGCATAATCCAATTTGTTCTAAACATGAGGCATGCTTTATATTAAGGGCTTTAAAATAAGACAGTTAACACGTGTAGTTTAAAGCGGTTTGTCCCGTCAGAAAGGCTGCATGTGCTGCTAACAGCTACTGTTGCTGTGTAATGCGTTTGAGATGTTCAATGAGCTTACATTTCACAGCTATATTCTCCATCTGTAAATGTTAGAAAGTCATGGAAATATTCCCATTTTGTTGTTGAGTCTCCGCTAAACTTCACAGACTTCAGGGAACAAGCGCCGCAGCACATATGTGCCAAACAGACGGAGCGCAAAAATCCTGATTTAAAAGAAATACACATTTTGCTGAAATATTTGTAGCTGGCCAATGAATGTGCCATATGTAGAATTTATAACCTACAAGTAAGTGTATTTTTAGGATAGCAGTAACTGTACAGTGAATTTAGTCTGTGCTTTCATTTTTATTTTTTAGTTAAAAGCATTATTTTTGTTTTTAGATTTTAATGTTACAATGTAATAAAGTAATGCACATAATATATAGCATAGCCTACATAGTTACATTCACTATTTGTTTTCATAGCCTTTAATATGAACATTGTTTCACTGGACAACATTGGGCAGGATGCAAAATAAAAGTTTTTTAAACCAAAAAGAAAAACATAGAAAATACAGAGATATGTACCGGATATGGCAAATCAGCAAAATTAATTTAATTTAATTTATAATAGTGTAATTAGATTTTAATCATCAACGAGCATGTCTAATCAATTGAATTCATAAAACTTTAATAATTTATTAAAATTGTAACAATAATAATTAAATGTTGATTTTTTTTCAGAAATTCTGTGTTGTTGTTTTAAATTAATCTGATTTATTCTGTATGATTTAATTTCATTCTTATGATTTATTTCATACTTTATGATTTAATACAAATGTATCATCAAAAACAGTAGCTTAAAAAAAATAATTAATTATTTAATCTTTTAAAATTTAACAAAATAAAATTTGAACAAATCCTATTATTTTTTTTGAAAACAGTGTTTTCCATTTGCATTTAAAATTTAATTTAATTTAATTTAAATAATTAAAAATCTTGTCTAATTAATTAAATTCATATAACTTTAATAATTTATTAAAATGGTAAAAAAAATTCTGTTGTCTGTTCTTAATTGTTCTGTTTTAAGATTTAATGCAAATTTATTATCAAAAACAATGGTATTATAATTAATGTATATTACTTTAAAAATGTAATATTTTGAAATGCATTCAAATGAAATTTCAACAACTTGTTTTTTCCCGTTTTCTTTTTTTTTTTTTTTGCAAACAAAGTGCTGCAAAAGGTTTTTAGTCGATATTAAAATGCGGATTTTTTTTTTTGATATATTCCTTAAAAAATAATGCTTTAATAAACAATCATTAATTAGTGTTATTATCATTAGTATTTAGAGACGTACATTCTATTGTACAATATGTTCCTATCATAATTTCTTCAAGTTTAAACAAACTTTAAACCAGAGTAATTTTGGTGGGTTGTAGTGAAAACTTTTGCGTTTCTGTGTGTATTTGACGAGTTTTGGTGACGGAGTGACTCTCAGACTTCTTGTTTAAACATCAGTCTTTTTGCGCTTTAATATGCAAGTCCGTATTTCTTTTTATCCAAATTTTGCCACATTTCTATGACATTCTGCATTTTTATGATTGGACTCGTAGGCACTATGCTTGTGGACAGATTCGCCATTAATCACCACATAAAACCAAAGCAGTCTGTGGTTGGTCACAGTCAGACGCTCATTTCGTGTCACAGTGGGCTTTACACCAATTTACAGTCCGACTTCTCCCTTGGACTACTTCAGGACATCTTGAATTTGAATGCAGCTCCAATGTTTGATCATGACACCATGAAAGTCAAAGCTAGCGTGACAGAAATGGCAATAAATATTACGAGCCGAGAGTCGTGCATATGTTAGCAAGTGCCATGTGTTCGGATGTAATGGGTTTTATCAGGAAGGAGCCAAAACAAGCTTGGCATCGTCCCACGTGACACTGCTAATTTGGCACAAAATCATTGTGCATATCCAAGTTTTGGAACTTAATTCTTCCCGCAGTCGATGTGCATGCATATATTGCTACAGTGTGTAAATATAATCCATGCATTTCAGCTGGAAGCCACGATAGACACTGACTGACTGAAGCTTTTGGCTCGCTTAAAGGTCACATGGCTCATTTCTGGTCGCTTAATTGCTTGTGCACAGGGTGGAGATGTTGACAGACAGCCCTCAGCTATTACAAGAGAATGCATTATTAATACGATGTGTACCTCATGCATAAATAAAACAGTCTTTGTGGTTTGAAGTGTCAGAGAAGCCGCAGGCGCAAGTCAAATCAAGGTACATTAATACACATGCACAGAGTGATTAGAGCACGTAAAGCACACAGACTGAACAGAGCGAAGGTGATGTCAAGCCATACTGACCTCTTGGTTCTAATGCATTGTCTACTTTGTCATCGACAAAAACGCGGTCGTGAACGCCTATGGTTTTCTCGCAGCCATCTACAAAAACAGAAGAAATGAAAAAGATACCGTAAGCCAGTCATGTTAGTGGTAAATTCAGCAGCCCGACCCACCTGCCAATCAGAGGAAAGCACACAGAAGCAGTCACCTGCCCTCAATGTCCATTAAAGTGTGTTGCATTGAAAGGCATGGGAGTTTCTGTAACCCAATGCCTCCGACAGAATCGCACGCGTGTGGTTTGTAATAAGTGACACTTACTCGGTGGTCTCACGTACACTTTCAGCTTGAGACACGACCTTCTCCCGGTTTCTGTGATCATGGATGCTGTAAAACACAAATAAGAGATAAGAAAAGGTGAGTACACACACAAACACCTGAGAAAGATATCGTCTTAGTCTCACACTTCACACACACTATCCTATAAAGTCGCGGCTCGCGGGTGTATTTTTGTGGTCCGAAATAGGAAATTGCTCCTTTCCTGTGGAATCTAAAGGGTGTGCACACACACGCGGCACCCGCAGGGTGAAGAGAGGAGCGCCACACTGTCATTTGTGGTTTTCTGTCACTAGCAGTCTGCTGGTTTATCAGCCGATTCGGGCCCCAAGAGTTTCGAGCACATATATACCAGACTGAATTCAAAAGAGGAAAGTCAAAGCGTCAAAGCTGGAGCAACTTCATCTCAAGTTTATTTTTAGGCAAAGTGTTTCTTGAATGCTACATTTAAGGTCCAGTAGGACAGTAGGAAAGCACAAAGATCTAGACAGAAGCAGAATTAAATGGAGATCTGACTGAAGTATTCTACAAAGTCCCTCAGGGGAACGCAGAAGATTTGCAAGTGAACAAAATGTTTTGCAAGTGAATACAAAGTTCCTCGAAGAATGCAGACATTTTGCAAGTGAAGAGTTTCTCAGGGAATGCAAAAAAATTGCGAGTGAAGTTTTTCTGTGGGATGCAAAAGTTTTGCAAGCAAAAACAGTTCTTTGGGAATGCAAACATTTTGCAAGGAAACAAAAAAAATTTGCAAGCGAAAACAGTTTCTCTGAGAACGCAAAAATTTTGCAAGCAAAAACAATGTTTTTCAAAGGATACAATCATTTTGCAAGCAAAAACTAATTTTCCCTGAGAACGCAAAAAAAATTGCAAGTGAACACAAATGTTTTGCAAGCAAACAGTTTCTCTGAGAAACATTTTGCAAGTGAACAGTCTCTCAGGGAATGCAAAACATTTGCGAGTGAACAGTTTTTCTGTGGAATGCAAAAGTTTTGCAAGTAAAAACAGTTTCTTGGGAATGCAAACATTTTGCAAGCAAAACCAAATTTTCTCTGAGAAGTGAACACAAATGTTTTGTGAGCTAACAGCATCTCTGTGGAGCACTAAAGTCTTGCAAATGATTTCTGAGCAAATGCAAAGTTTCTTGGTGGAACGCAAAAGTTTTGCAAGCAAATGTAAAGTTTCTCAGTGGAATGCAAAAGTATTTTTCTTTTGGAAAAAAAAGAGAGAGATTTCAACAGCACCTCAAGAGAAATTAGCCAACATTCCAAAGATCTCAAACACCTCAAATTCTCCCAAGACCAGGGGCCGGTTGCATAAACTGTTTAGACTAGTCTTAAAAAGTTAGTCATCTATGTTTATGCAACTGGCCCCAGATGACCTGAGATATGCATCTGTCAACATTTGACTAATTAATGTCTTCTTCATAGCAGTTTTAAGACAAATGGCAACAAATCAGAATCTAAAGGGTGTGCACACACACGCGGCACCCGCAGGGTGAAGAGAGGAGCGCCACACTGTCATTTGTGGTTTTCTGTCACTAGCAGTCTGCTGGTTTATCAGCCGATTCGGGCCCCAAGAGTTTCGAGCACATATATACCAGACTGAATTCAAAAGAGGAAAGTCAAAGCTGAAATTATAGAGCAACTTCATCTCAAGTTTATTTTTAGGCAAAGTGTTTCTTGAATGCTACATTTAAGGTCCAGTAGGAAAGAAAAATCGCACAAAGATCTAGACAGAAGCAGAATTAAATGGAGATCTGACTGAAGTATTCTACAAAGTCCCTCAGGGGAACGCAGAAGATTTGCAAGTGAACAAAATGTTTTGCAAGTGAATACAAAGTTCCTCGAAGAATGCAGACATTTTGCAAGTGAAGAGTTTCTCAGGGAATGCAAAAAAATTGCGAGTGAAGTTTTTCTGTGGGATGCAAAAGTTTTGCAAGCAAAAACAGTTCTTTGGGAATGCAAACATTTTGCAAGGAAACAAAAAAAATTTGCAAGCGAAAACAGTTTCTCTGAGAACGCAAAAATTTTGCAAGCAAAAACAATGTTTTTCAAAGGATACAATAATTTTGCAAGCAAAAACTAATTTTCCCTGAGAACGCAAAAAAAATTGCAAGTGAACACAAATGTTTTGCAAGCAAACAGTTTCTCTGAGAAACATTTTGCAAGTGAACAGTCTCTCAGGGAATGCAAAACATTTGCGAGTGAACAGTTTTTCTGTGGAACGCAAAAGTTTTGCAAGTAAAAACAGTTTCTTGGGAATGCAAACATTTTGCAAGCAAAACCAAATTTTCTCTGAGAAGTGAACACAAATGTTTTGTGAGCGAACAGCTTCTCTGTGGAGCACTAAAGTCTTGCAAATGATTTCTGAGCAAATGCAAAGTTTCTTGGTGGAACGCAAAAGTTTTGCAAGCAAATGTAAAGTTTCTCAGTGGAATGCAAAAGTATTTTTCTTTTGGAAAAAAAAGAGAGAGATTTCAACAGCACCTCAAGAGAAATTAGCCAACATTCCAAAGATCTCAAACACCTCAAATTCTCCCAAGACCAGGGGCCGGTTGCATAAACTGTTTAGACTAGTCTTAAAAAGTTAGTCATCTATGTTTATGCAACTGGCCCCAGATGACCTGAGATATGCATCTGTCAACATTTGACTAATTAATGTCTTCTTCATAGCAGTTTTAAGACAAATGGCAACAAATCAGCTCTTTCAATGAGACATAAACGTGAAGTTTCTTAAGCCGTGAAAGAGAAAACTCTGAGGAATTCTGTGTTCATCTGAGGTTATTCTGTGAGCTTTATTAAGACGGACAGCGCAGTGCAAGTTCAACGGTTGGACTAATTAAGGCTAATTACTCTCAACATGGGATTTTATTCAGTGATCTTTGGTGGAAATGTGCTGTGGTGTGTGTGGGATGTGTAGAGTTCCTACATTACAGTCCACACTGTCTTTTAACACTTCGAAGTCGACAATCACAAGCAGTTTACCTCCATAATGTGATGCATTTCTGAATGAAACAGATGGACAATAAATGTAGGCCAGGACTTGGTTTTATCCATGAGGAATTGATTTCAGAAACAGCCGCAATAACACCATCATGAACGTAAATAGGGTCAGTTTTGCTTTCCATGTTTTAAAATTGCATCAGAACTGATGTCTCACTTAAAATGTGATCTTTGTTTTTCATGCCTTTAAATGCAAAATATTACACCGATATCTTAGAATCATTCATTCAGCACATCAATCTGCTATGAAACATCCTGAATATCTTCAAATCAGCACATACTGACAGAGTTTTGTAGTGACATCTGTATGTGTAATGCACATTTCTGAAGTGAACCGCTCTATCCTGATCAGTACTCTCTGCCGGTTGAGTTTATTAATGGAATAAAACAAACACCCGAAGCACGTCATGAATCCAAATGATAGAGTTTCACAAAGGAAGAGCCAAATAAAGCCGACAAACAGAAATAAAAGACGCTAAAACTCACTAAACTGGATTACATTACAAGCAACATGACTTACAAAAAGTACCTTTTGGACTTTTTAGACAATGTTTTTTTAACCATGGCATTCTTTGAAGAACTTTGAAATTGTACTTATATTTTTACATACTTTTATGTTACAAAAAAATTCAATTTCAAATAAATGCTGTTCTTTTGAACTTTCTATTCATCTGTGAATCCTGAAAAACAAAATGTATCACCGTTTCCACAAAAAATATTGTTCAGTCTTCAACATTGATAATAATCAGACATGTTTCTCGAGCAGTAAATCAGCATATTATACTGATTTCTGAAGATCATGTGACACTGAAGACTGGAGGAATGATGCTGAAAATACAGCTGCGCATCACAGAAATACATTACAGTTTAACACAGATTCACATAGAAAACAGCAATTTTTAATTGTAATAATATTTCACAGTTTCTACTGTTTTACTGTATTTTTAAACAAATAAATGGAGCCTTGATAAGCATATGAGAGTTCTTTCAAAATTTAAAAATGTTACTGCCCCCAAACCTTTGAGCACTAACTACCAGAACAATGAACAAGTTGTAGACTGAAATAAGTTTTCCAAGTGTGCTGTAATGAAACGAACAGAGAGGCACATCTCCAGGAACTCTGCCTCCTTCACTCCGTCTGCATGCGGCTTAATAATCAAACACATTTTCCGATTGGAAATCTGGCAAGCGTGTGCTCCTGTCAAGAGTCGGCCCACCCTTTGGGCAAGTATGCTAATCAGCATTTATTTCATTTGACAAAGACAACATTCGAATGCAGAGATATTAAATATGCAGCGCTCTCTTTTGAGCGTCGTAGCCAGCGGCAGAGCTTTCTCAATTTGTCCTCATCCATAAAGAGCCTCGACTAATAGCATCAGCAGAGATGAAGAGCATTTCTCACAACCCTCATCTGCCTCTCTGCTTTAGTGCTGCTGTCTCTCTCTTGTACATGCAAATGAAACAGAAAGTGTGTGTGTGATGAAAATATAAATGCATGTATTCTGACACTATAACATATGTTGCTAAAAAGACCATTACAAAGACAGACTTAAAGGACGGACACAACATCTAGAGAGCAGAATATCACTGAGACATGAGGATGCGTGACCCTTTTGATGTGAGACAGCAGGAAACCACCTAACAACCATATAGAACACCCTAGCAACCGATTAACTGCTTTAAAACGATATGTATCATGAAAAGAGCTATACAAATAAATGTGAATTTAATTAAATTGAATTATCAACACCCTAGCAACCGCATAACAATACCCTGGTAACCACCCAAAACACTCTAGCATCTGCAGAGCAATACCCTAGCAACTGCAGCACCCTGGCAACACCTTGGAAACTACACAGAGCACCCTTGCAACCACAAAGTACACCCTACCAATCCCAAAGCAACACCCTAGCAACTGCACAGCAACACCCTGGCAACCAAACAAAACACCCTAGCAATCACATAGCAGCACCCTGGCAATCACACCCTAACAACTGCAATGTAACACCCTAGCAACTCCATAGCAACACTTTGCCACACAAAGCATGC